CCAATAAATCTCTCAATTGGCTAGTGGGCTTTACCTGTATGGGCCATTTGGACTTGGTCCGAGTATGATTTCTGAGCCCAAGATGGATTTCAATATTTTATTAAGAAATAATTTCAAATAGCCAAATTATAGTTTTTAACTAAAAAAATCTGGAGCTTATCACTAATGTTTTGTGCTTTTATTATACCTAATATGCCCATTTTTAAATTCATTAAAAAAGACGCGACTTGATAATTTATTATCTCTAAATATATCTCAATATTATAGCGTGTTTGGACTGACGTGTTATTGAATCCTCTTGGCCAGAGATCGATGTCAATTACTGTTAAGCTAAACTCGCGCAGGTCATAATGTTTATTATCTCAATCTGTTGCAAAGGGGAGAAGTGTCGTTTTCTTAATTTGTCATAATTAGAAATGTCTATATAAAAAATTACCTTACATTTTGTAGTTTTCCTCAGATTCTTCTATCTCTTTACTTCTTTTTGAGAAAATTTATAACTCCACCCGACCTTAGTGAATATATTTTCCTAATCAAATAGTTGTCATGGCCACTTCATTTTAGCATTTTCCATCCTTTGCCCTTCTTGTGTTCCCATCTATGAATTTACCATGACATTAGATTGATTCTTTTAAATAAATTTTCGAGCCTTAAAACTTATAAAATGTTATATCTTTTATATTGTTCACGTATAGTTAAATAAATGAGATTCATCATAAGTAAAACCATAAAATAAACCAAATTTATCACGTCACATTTCTCAACATCTAAAAGTTAAAATTTTTCATAACTAAATTTGGAGTTCTATATCACGGGCTAGAAACTCATTACATACAAATATCGATATATTATCTACTTTTGTCGGAGCCTACATTTATTTTATTTTTAGACTCTAACCAACATATCATACATAAATAAATAATTAATGTCATTTTATTTATACTGTGATGGATTGTCATATGGTACCTCAGCCTTAAAATACAATACCCTAGTCAACAAATAAAAGTTAACAAGGGAGGAAAAAACAAGTAAAATAAGACAATGTTGTAAATTGCTACACCAATACTGGAAAATTTTATATATAATAAATGAAAGTGAAATAAAATCAACCCTTAGTTGACTGAAGTCACCCTATAGATAGTCATTTTCAAGAGAGTATGGCTACAATTTCAACATAATTCTTTTCTTCTCTTTTTGAGAAAGTTGTAAAATAATGGAGGAACCAAAAGTCTTCCATTGCCTAGCTATTGTTGTGAATAACAAAAATTTCATATATGATATAAATGTGCTGATGTTTACGATTTTTTTCCAATAAAAATAGGGGATTTTAGAATATACAAAATTATAAATATGGGAGGGAGATTTGGAAATTTGAAATTTTGAGAGTTGTGAAAATGTATTTCGCATATCAAATATCTCAACCTCTTATTTATAGAAAGGAAAGTCTCCTCAGGTATATATTAGCTCGACTTGAATTTGATGTGGTTAGGTAGTCCATCTTGATTGGTTTGATCCAATCGATCGATTCAACTAACGTTGCTTCTTAACCTCACTTCATCAAATAAATTAAACTTGGTATATTTTACTCATAATATTTCTTGACATTATTTTTATAAAAATATCAAGTATCAGGTACTGGGATAGATAAAGTATAAGCTTCAAATTATCATAATATATGTAAAATTGTGTAACATTTAATCTTCATCCAATGCATTAAAACAAGTTGTATAACAATCTTTTATGATTCATCCTTAATCTAATTTTTACTAAAAAAATTCATAATGTATATTCATAAGTCATTTTTTTTACAGCGTATAATCATAAGTCATTAACTATTTATAAATAATAGTTTTGTGTTATATGTAATTTATGTCTATGTATTAGCTAGCATGTAAATACTAGAATTCGGCCGTCATAAAAAAAAAAAAATCTCAATTTCAATGCTTCAGTCCCTCAAAATTAAGCGCTGCATAATGCTTTTAATTATTTAGTCAATCATAATTTATATCAACCAACCATTATTTAACTTATGACGAAGTTAATTTCATTTTTCTAATCAAAATAATACTGAATCGAAGTATCAATTTGAGAAAAAAAATGATATAATTGAACTAAAGTAATAATAAATCATTCTTAAATGAAACCAGCTTAAATATATTTTATTAATTTTGAATTTGTATCAATGATTTGGATTTTTTTTTCTCTCTTCATTTTGACAAGCTGGTATAATTCGATAGGGGAAAAACTATTATTTTTTAAAAATATATATTTAGTAAATTTCCTGAAGCTTAATGCTTACGCTTCTTGTTGCTTGGCTTGTTGGAGAAGATTACAGACGTTGACGGCTACATATAATGGTAACATGGCTGCAGAGAAATATTCACATGCAGCCACATCCACGCTAGTACTTTCAATAGGTGTATTATGTTAACATTAGTATGTATTAAAATCACATGATGATCATAAGACAAATGTTAGATAGACATGTATTAAATGACAAAATAATAGCGATTGACATATATATCAATTGTCTTTTTAAATTCCAACGACCAAAATGAGTACTTTACGACATTAAAAATTAAAATAATTAAATTCGTCCCCAAAGATAACGAAGTGGCAAAAACTTTGGATTTTTTTTTATTATCATTTACCATGAACTTTTGAGGTTCTTGTAGTTTAAAACTTTATGTAATAATTATTTTTACAAATATTATTAAGTCATGTTTATATCCAGCCAATTCGAGCATAATTCAATTGATAAGGTACCTATTATTTCTCTTTTGAGATAAAAGATTCAATCCTTACCTCTTACATATGTTGAACTAAAAATAATAATAATACATACGTCCTAACTATGATTACCATTACATCTTTGACAATCGAAAAATATAGAAGAGAGCTAGATATCTTCTTTTGTTTAAAGAAATAAATAATTATCAAATTTTCGGTCGTGATCGGAAAGGTAAATATTGTAAATGCAATTATAATGATTTTTTTAGTACAACAAGTAGGAGTGGGAGATCGAATTTACTGACTCTTAATTTGAGATATATGTTAATTATTGATGAAGTATGTTCACGTTCACAATTCAATTGGGACGATATTAAATTAAATGATGTGATTTTAACATTAAGAAGGAGAGGTGAGAGGCGAGAGTTGAAAGTGGGAGGGTGGGAACGGCCACAGGGAGCAATTTCCCAAATAGATAAAGATGCCAAAAACTGAATTCGTGTAGCCTAAGCTAAGGCATTAATTTTAGGCATCTTATTAATAACCTCTCTCTCTCTC